GTAAATACCCAGTAGTGCAATGGCAGGGTCATAGGGAAGCTCTATTTTTAATTTCTTGAGGAATCTCCACACTGTTTTCCAAAGTGGCTGCACCAACTTGCATTCCCACCAACAGTGTAAGAGGGTTCCCCTTTCTCCACATCCTCTCCAACACATGTTGTTTCCTGTCTTGCTAATTTTGGCCATTCTAAGTGGTGTAAGGTGGTATCTCAATGTGGTTTTAATTTGAATCTCCCTGATGGCTAGTGATGATGAACATTTTTTCATGTATCCATCTCTTTTTTATACGAGCTTCCCTTTGTTTTTTTAAATTTATTTTTATTGAGGTACAGTTACAGCATATTGGTTTTAAGTGTACAACATAATGGTTTGATATTTGTATCTATTTCTGTATATCCATCTCTCTAATGTACCTTGAGATTGCTGTTGCAAACAATGTGGCAAATTGTTCTTATATATGTCTACTTTTGCGTAGTTTTATAAGAACTTATGGAGTGTAACGGAAAAGCTCTTTTAAAGATGGAATGGAAATAATAAATGGGGAAGGAGTGAGAAAATGCCATTTAAAAGAAACACAGTGGGGCGCCTGGGTGTCTTAGCCGGTCAGGCATCTACCTTCTGCTCAGGTCATGTTTCTGGGATCCTGGGATCGAGTCCTGCCAGCCCCGCCTTGGGTTCTCTGCTTAGTGGGGACTGTGCTTCTTCCTCTCTCGGCCCCTCCCCCTGTACTCTCTTTCTCTCTCAAATGAAAAATAAAATCTTGAAAAGAAGACAAGACACATGGGGCACCTGGGAGGCTCAGTCGTTGAGTGTCTGCCTTCAGCTCATGTCGTCATCCCGGGGTCCTGGGATCCAGCCCCACATTGAGCGCCCTGCTCAGCAGGGAGTCTGCTTCCCCCTTTCCTGCTCTCCCTGCCTGTGTTCCCTCTCTCTCTGGCTCGCTTTCTCTGTCAATAAATAATTAAAATCTTTAAAATTCCTAAAAGAAAAGATGTGTAGTACCAATTCATTCAGGTAAGAATCATCGGAGCTGCTAATGTCATTGGGTGAGGATTTGAGGAGCAGAATAGTTCCTTAGTCTTGAGGTATCTCTCCTTCACACATACTTGCAGACAGTAATTCTCCACTTACTGATCAAGCAGAGAAAGATAGTAACTTTACAGTGGAGAAATCTGGTAATAACTAACTGCCATAAACCAACCAAAGTTAAATGTCACCAGTCACGGGATAGACCAGTCACATGTTCCCAACGTGACTAGGGAGCAGGACACATCGTTTACATAGTTCTCCTGCCCAGAGTATACAGCCTGCATCTAATCATGAGGGGACATGAGACTAACCCAAATTAAGAAACATTCTTCAAAGTAAATGGCTTGTCCTCTTAAAAAATGCCAATGTCTTTTTTCCCTTATTTATTATTTAAATTCAGTTAGTTAACATATAACATATTATTAGTTTAAAATGTCAATGTCTTAAAAAACAAAGAAAGGCCGAGTAACTTTTTCATATAATTAGGAGACTACAGAGATGACATGTAAATTAATATATGATCCTTGGTTGAATTCTGGGCCAGAAAAAAAGTGGTATGAAGGCCATTACTGAGACCATTGTCGAAATTTGAATAAGGTCTGTACATTTGATGCTAGTTTAGCAGTAATGTCCACTTTCTTGATTTTGACAATTTCATTGTGATTAAGTAAAACCTTGTGTCTTGAGGAAATCAGTGCTGAAGTATTTAGGGGCAAAGGGCATGACGTCTGTAATTTATTCTCAAGTGGTTTTGAAAAAAGTGTCATTTTATACATCTAGGGCTAGCACAATAAAGCAAAAGTGACAAAATGTTGGCAGTTCACAAATCTGGATAAAGTGAACTCTTCGTTGCACCTTTTCTGCACATTTGAAATTACTGAACAAACATCTTCCTGAGCTATACCTGGAAGCAGAATCTCTGGGTCTCAGCTGTGAATATCTTTACGTTTACTAGATGGTTCCAAATTAATTGTTTTCCAGTATGGTTATACTAGTTATGTTATAATTGGCCAAATTTTCACTAGCACTTGATAGGACTCAATTTAAAATTTCCTCAGTCTTTATTGGTATGAAATAGTATCTTGTTTTGTTTGTGTTTCTCTGCTGATAGTGAAGTTGAACATCTTTTAAAATGTGTAGTCATTAAGGGGGGGCTTACTCTTTTTTTTTTTTAAGATTTTATTTATTTGACAAACCGAGATCACAAGTCAGCAGAGAGGCAGGCAGAGGGGGAGGGGGAATCAGATTCCCGCTGAGCAGAGAGCCCGATGCGGGTCTCGATCCCAGAACCCTGGGATCATGACCTGAGCTGAAGGCAGAGGCTTTAACCCACTGAGCCACCCAGGCACCCCTCAAATTATTTTGATTTTTTATTTTATATGTTAAAGTTGTATATAAAATGTTCGTTTTATGAAATTTTTTTTTAAAGATTTTATTTATTTTATTTGACAGAGATTACAAGTAGGCAGAGAGGCAGGCAGAGAGAGAGGAGGAAGCAGGCTCCCTGCTGAGCAGAGAGTCTGATGTGGGGCCCGATTCCAGGACCCTGAGATCATGACCTGAGCTGAAGGCAGAGGCTTTAACCCACTGAGCCACCCAGGCGCCCCAAGGAGGGGCTTACTCTTTTTATGAATTGTTTGCCATCTATACTTTTTTTACTTCTTTTTTTTGTATATCTTAATATATTCTGGAAATTAATCCTTTGTTGATTAGAGACATTAAAGTCACCCACATACCTTTGAAAGAGGCTTAACAAAAATCTAAAATTGAGTTCTATTTTATTTGAGTTACACAGAATTAAGTAGGTCGGGGGCAGAGAGAATATTGCACATCAGGTGGGTGGATGCTGGGCGCCGGCCCCTGTTGAAATGTCTTTTCTCTTCTGGCTCAGTTAAATGATGAGGTGCAACTTGAACTGGCATTCTTATCTCTCACCCCTCCGAAAAATCTTATTTTTAGAAAGACTGTCCACTGTCTCCAGTGTATTTCATTCTGAGATTTGCTAAATGATTTGTTCTTCCCTCCCCTTCTAGACTTAAAAAACCCCACAAAACCCTATCTATTGCTAAATAATGAAACTCTTGCGCTGAATGTTGGCCAGGACTTGGATTGAGTAACCTGCTCAGAGGTATTGCTGCTGTTCGCAGAGCAAGAGGGTAAATCAGTAGTGACACGGTCTGGTTCACCCTCTAATGGGAATCAAATCCTTTTCCGAGGGTGAGGAAAGGTTAAACCACTTAGACTTGATGACAGAAAAAAATAATCTAATCATTCAAGAGCTTATTTTTTTGTTCTAATTCTTATGGTGATAAGGTATTAGATTTGCATGTTGGTAAAAACAAACAGGCAAAAACTACCAAAAAAACCCAAAAGTAAAATCGTGAAACTTTAGCCCTATAAAGAAACTAAAAATTTTCTCACCTCCAATTTTATAAAGGAGGACACCAAATTAGGTGACCCAGAGAATGACACAGAGTCTTAGAGCCAGTGACTATCCTAAACAGAACTTGACTCTGGACTCCAGGTCCTCTTTACTTTCTTTTCTCATAGACCATGATGCTCTTCCTTCAGAAAAAATGATGTATTATCACCTCTTCTTCTATGGATGCGTGTACATGTTCTCCAGGGGATAGGTAATACAGCAGTTTCCACTCTCCTCACTGATTTCTTAGTAAATTGGAAAGTGAGGAAATCAGAGGGGATCTTCTTTTAGGGAATTTAATATCTTAATCTCCACCTCAAAAGGAAAAGCTTTTCTAATTTAGGAGGTAAATTCCTTTGCAACACACCCCAGAGCAAAGATTGGACAGTTATGTCATTGTATATATAGCTGCTCTTTATTTACAGATCCTCTCATCTATGATTCTTATTTAGTAGTCAGAACTGGATGGCAGTGATCATTTTTTTCAATTTATAAAATTTATGCTACTTTAAAAATCTTTGAATTATTTTCTTTATGGGAAAGATAATAACAACATAAAGAGGAAAATCTAATCATATTGCCCAGAGTTAACCACTTAATGTGGGCTTCTTGCCTTTTTTTTTTATGTGTATCTATTTCCTAAAGTTAGTTAAACTATAGTTTCAGATCCTGCTTTTTTCTTTTCCACTTAACATTAAGGTATTAACTACAGTATTTATTAGATGCATTGTGTCATGTTGTCTGGATCGATTTTAACGGAAAATGCTACAGTGAATATTTTTGCCTAGATTTTTGATTATTTTCTTGGGTTAGATTCCTAAAATCGGAATCACTGAATCATCAGTGAACGTGTTTTTAGTCTCTTCATGTGAAAGGGATTTTGACAAACTTGCTACTAATTCTAGTTCCACGTTCACACAAATTGAGTATGAAAATACTTGTATCATTAAACTTTATCACTAAACAAAAATGTTGCTGATTTGATGATGTAAAAGGGCAATCTTTGTCTAATTCCCATTTCTTTGCTAGTAAGAGGTTTTGGTCTATTAACTATTAATGTTTCTGTGAATTCAGTTTGTGACCTTGAGACTGATTTTCTTAGAAAATCATTTGTACATATTAGAAACATCAGCATTTGCCATGTTTGCCATTTGTGGTAAATACCTTTTGCCATTTTGCTTGCTTTTGGCGTTATGGTTTTTATCGGGGAAAACAGAAGGTTTTATTTTTATGCAGCCTAGATCCATGCTTGGAGAGAGTTTGTTTTGTAACTTCTTTCCCTAATGGTGTGTAGGGAGGCAGTGCAACAAGAAAAGGGCTATCGAGGACCGGATTTCTTTGTAAGGCACTGAGTGCGTTGGGTAGCGATCGTTTTATGCAGATTGACTGATTCTGCCTCTTTGCCCGCTGCAGTTGCTTGTGTTTTGTTTTTGAAATCTGCTTCATGTTACCCACGAAGTTTGTTGAACCGTCTTCTGCACCAAGTTGCCCCATTGCTCAGTTCCTGTGTCATACGGCATTTTCTCATGTCCTGATGCTTTCTTTTAAGGTATTATCCAAAGAGATGAATCACCCATGGAAAAAGGGCTCTCTGGTCTGCGAGGAAGGGACTTTGAGCTGTCTGACGCGTTTTATTTCTCCAAGAAGGGCTTGGAAGCCATTGTGGAAGATGAAGTGACCCAGAGGTTCTCCTCAGAGGAGCTGGTGTCATGGAATCTCCTCACAAGGACCAACATGAATTTCCAGTACATCAGTCTGCGGCTCACCACGGTGTGGGTGCTGGGCGTCCTAGTGCGCTACTGTGTCCTGCTACCCCTGAGGTATGTCTCCTGCCCAGTGATTGACGGTATCATTGGTTCAGCTTTCTTTTTAAATCACGTATGTGATGGCCTCAGGAGAGTATTAGGGCACTGATTTCACCCCTTCCCACCTGCAAAACACCAACTGGGACTCCACAGGAACATGCGAAGTATCTGTTCTTTCACATTTTTCCCCCAAATGAAGGTGTGTATTCAGAAGCAAATAAATGTCCTTCTGGATCCATTTTGTTCTTTCGGTCATAAACTACCAGAGGATAGACGGCAAAGGGAAGTTGGCGAAAAGAAGAGAGGATTTCTGGTTTTGCATTCGCCAGAGTGTCCACCAAACTGTAACTGCCTTTCCTCGCTGGTCTGTAGTAGGTCACAGTTGAAAAGGAGAGAAAAGATTACTGAGAGTGGTTAGCATGGGAGAGAAAGCCATTTAAAGGACGGAATTTGTTCCACCAAGTTCCGTCATGATTCACTTTTCTCATTAAAAGCTCCCCCATGTCACCTTCTGGCTCTGAGCAGGAACGCCTCCGATGAGGGGTCCTTTCTGATGCGGTCTACTGGAGCCACCGTGGAGACCTCAGAGGAGCAGAGTGATGCTGGGCTGTGGACGGAGTGCAGGTGGCCAGAGTGTGTCCAGCATGGCGACGGCGGGTCATAGGCATAGGCACGAGTCACAGTATTCCTGAGGATGGTCTTGCTTAATTTCCCTGGACATAGCCTTGGCCCCCTCTCGACACAGCTTTCCAGGCATTTGCTCTCAGCCCCCTTAAATTGGCATAGGACTTGGAACCGTTTGACCCTTCCTAGGGTGGCCTACACTTGCCTCATTTAGGTTTATTACAACTGAAGAGATTGCTTAAGTATAGGCAGAGGCACATTTCTAAGTTCTTTCTGTGTGGCTTTTTTTTTTTTTTTTCCCCATATTGCCGGTTTGCCAGTTGGGGCACAGTGTGTCTTTTCTAAATGATTTCAGCTCTGCTAACAAAGTGGAATTCAGGTTTTCACATATACTTTTGCTTGGACTTTAAGCCAGTGTTCCCCAACTGAGGGGGTGTTCATTTACTCTGAGTAAGTGCAGGACTGTCCCTCGGTATGCATGAAGAACATAGTTGTACTTTTATGTATTAGACATTTCTAGGCTTATAGTTAGAGCTTCCATTTATTCTGTTTTTATTCTGAAAAAAGAAATGCAGCTTCAGTAAAGTTGACTGTATAGATTCGCTCTTACATCTGCACTTGGCCCATGAGCCAGGCTCTGTATCCAAGGCCACTGGAGGGAAGAGTGAGGGTTTTTGCAAGACCGAGTATTTGAGATGCCCTCGTTTGTCTGTTAGCTTTCACCTGCTGTGGGTGCCAGCAAATGGTGTTATGATTCTATGATCTACATAGTTTAATCTAGCACTCACAAACTAAAGAAGTAACCTAGAAGATTCTTGCGAAGAAACCACAGATGTAGGATAAGCCAGTCGTGTAAGCACCCAAGAAGAAGGAGGCAAGAGAAGAATGGAGACTCCCACTCTTCATACATCGTCCTCAGGGTGAAGGAACGGCCGTGTACATGCTTTAGAAGATGAGCCATTGCTACCAAGTCACCACTCAAACAGCAGATGGTGCTAAAATTGATTGTGTTGATGATTGCACAACTTGGTAAATATGCCGAAACCATGGACTACTTTAAATGGGGAAACTGTATTCTAGGGAAATTGTATCTCAGTAAAACTCCTAAAAAACAGACTGTGGCTGAAAACTTGTGACATCTATGAGAACTCTCACGTTGGCTTATTTAAACGGGAAACGAGAAGTTTCTGGCCTGTTAATCCAGCAAATAAAAACTTGCAGTAGTTTGAACCCAGTTGTTAAACGTGTTCAAAGGTATCCCCTTCTGACTTGATGTGTGGGAACAAATGATTCTCATTAGGGAAAGGTAGCAAACCTTTATTTTAAAACTTTTGCAAAATTGATGGATGAAATTAAACAGGGATTTAGTTATTGCATCCGTGGTTAGCATGAAAATATGGCATCGGAAGAAAACTGGATCTGACCTTCAAATTGCTCTGTCACAAGGTCTTAAGCCAAGACTTTAACAAGGTTTTTGCTTTTTTTTTTTTAAGACTTTAATGAGGCTTAACGCCTTAACAATGTGTTGATAAGGAAGCCCCATTTATTTTGAAAGATTTTAAATCTCTTTATCATCTTTTTGTGTAATTCTGCTTACATTTCTGAAAATAACTATTTTCTTTTTGAAGTGATTCAAATGAGTATTAAGTGAATATTAAAAGCACCTTTCAAAAATAAAAAGGGTCTATGTGGAGATTAGTGGTATTGTGAATCACCTTGTTACTAACCTCTTCTATGTTAGCAGGAACATACGGAAGGACCACAGACTTGCATTAAAGGGTTTCTACATGGTGCTATAATTTGGTGTTCTTATTATGAAAGGGCTTTTCCTGCTATTTGCACTAAATTTTAAATTTAGAGCAAATAAAAAATAAAAACTTCTGGTTTCCCATTTAAGTAAGCCAATGTGAGAGTTCTCATAGAAGTCATAAATTTTGAGAAAAATTTGAATTGTATCTCCCCCCATCATTAAAAAACACAGAAGAGCAAGTTATTTTTAGACCTTTGGAAGATAGTTACAATCATACTATGCCCACCAGTGTATCCTGGACAAAGTAAGGTAACCACTTTTCAACATGAGTCCTTCATACCATATAAAAATTTTTTCTTACATTATTCAAGAAGTTAATATGAGTATATTTAAAAACAAAATAATTCAGAAAAGCAAAAGGGCAAATGTTTTCATTTATCCTTTTCACAAGCCTGTTTAACCCTGGGAGGATTACATGATTGAGTTTGAGAGTTTTGTGAGTAAGTAAGTTTCTAGGCCTTCTGTATACACCTGTATGTTGTGCTTGGTATTATTTTGAAAAATGCTATCATACTCTACATGTTATTTTGAAATTTATTTTGCTTTTTTTCCCTCTCAGATTGTACCCAGGACCATTCTTCCATGTCAGAATCTATAGATTTACTCATTTCTTTTACTGTCAGCACCGTATTCCGTAGTGTGTTGGGAATAGAACTTATTTTCAGTCTCGTGATTTATGAACTGTTATTTCTCTTGGCCCCTTACCATGCAATTAACTTTTGCATTACCTTGTCTTTTTCAGGGTTACCTTGGCTTTCATTGGGATCAGCTTGTTGGTTATAGGAACCACACTGGTTGGGCAGCTGCCAGACAGCAGGTGAAACGTTCCCGTCCACTCAGCCATAAATAGGATGGTCCCTTCTTTTAGCGGTGTCCACAAGAAGAATATTTGATCCCTACGTATTGCATCAAATTTATGGCCTTGACACACTTATTAAAATTTGGCCTCTTTCGTATCCATAGTTTGTATTTGATTTGCCATCACACTTTCGTGTACCTGGTGAAAAATTCTTCCTCAAGGGGGAAATGAAGGCGGGAAAGGAAACACGTGGTCGGGCTTACCAGGCTGAGACCGAAGAAGCCTCAGCTTCTCATGGTCAGGAATCTGTCCTGGTAGTCTCGTCGGGTGGGAGCTATTTTCCATTGGAGTTTTGTCCTAAACAACTCAGTGCGACTTTAAGAAGTGAATGGTGCGTGTGTTTGGGAACACAGGCTGCTGGAAGGAGCACATCGAGGGTTTTATTGTTTTGTTTCCTAGGAGTGCCTACCACGAACCGTTTTCTCTTTCTTTCAGCCTCAAAAACTGGCTGAGTGAACTGGTCCACCTGACCTGCTGCCGCATCTGTGTACGAGCGCTCTCCGGCTCCATTCGTTACCACAACAAGTGAGTGTCTGTGGGCTCTCATCTGCCTTCTGTCCCTAAACTCAGAAGAAGCAGGTGAAGTCAGCGTACTTCCAGTATGTTCATGCCTGCTGCTTAGAGCGTCACAGACGTAATGGTCTTGCATGAAACAATTTTATTTTATTTTTTTAAAGATTTTTATTTGTTTACTTGATGGACAGAGATCACAAGCAGGCAGAGGCAGGCAGAGAGAGAGGGGGAAGCAGGCTCCCGCCGAGCAGAGAGCCTGACGCAGGACTCGATCCCAGGACCCCGAGACCACGACCTGAGCCGAAGGCAGAGGCTTAACCCACTGAGCCACCCAGGCGCCCCCATGAAACACTTTTAAAAAGCCATCCATTTGCTGAAGGAACCACATAATAATGTAATGACCCTTGATAATTGGGCATTTCTGGGGTGCAGGGCAGGCCTGTGCTTCTCCTAGGTCGTCCGCCTGGGCAGGCACTGCTGTCCTGTCGTGTAGGTGAACAGGGGAAGCTCCGGGACTGGCTGGCTGAGGTCACATGACTAGTTTGTGGTAGAGTCAGGTTGTGAGCTGGGTCTGTTGGTGTAAAAAGTGAGGCCGTTGACAGGCCTGCAGTGTGGGGGGAAGGAGGACGGACCTTTAGCCCTTGAGGCCTGCTTCCTAGCCTCAGTCCCGCCATCCCGATGTTCCATAACTGAGCCTGAAGACAGATTACCGCAGTCTGCTTCCCTCACCCCCAACAGTAGAGGAGAATGGTACCTGACTGAAGTTAGTAGCTGACTGAAGTAACTTTGATTGCTTTTGAATTCCTTTTCTGTTAACTCACTTTTATTCTTTTTACCTTTAACTTCGTTGTTTTAACAGTTCTAGAAAAGCCTCTCTTTTTTTGTTGACTGGATCTTTCTGCCTCATTTGTGGAAGGGAGACATTATCTTCTTTGGCCTTACCATGTGTTACCAACATAAAAGACCCCTTAAGTTTCTAAAATTACATGATTTGGTCTTTGAGCTGTGAGTTTTGGGGATGAGGAATAGAAGAAAATGCTTTGGTAGAACTGTGGTTAAAAGAGATACTATCTATAGAAAAGGTGTTTTAATTACATAGAGAGTTCACAACTTATTATGTATAGAATTTCTTCAATTTTAAGGAAAGCATGCTAAAGTTGTTACGCATTTGGTTCTCTTTCTTTTCTGTATTGGGCCAATGAAGACTGCTTTGCTTCATTAGTGTCGAATACTGGTTGAACTCTAGGACAGAGGTCGGCTACTGAACTACGGGCCTAGAGGCCAAATGCAGCCTGCCATCTGTTTTTTTGTGAATAAAGTTTTATTGGAACATAGCCGTGCTCATTCATTTATATATTGTCTGTGACTGCCTTTGTGTCAAAACAGCAGAGTCTAGTAGTTTTGACAGGGATTGGCTGGTTTGCAAAACCTCAGATACTTATTATCTGGCCCTCAATAGGAAAAGTTTGCCAACCTTTGTTTAAGGGGATGGGAGGGAGGAAACTACAGTAAGTTGACTCTGTGGGTCACTGTGGGGCTACTAAAGGTGATTCTTACAAAGACTGCAGTCGTAGGGAAGTACTTGAGTGAAACTTGTATATCACAATATTAAATTTATGGAATCTTTATAATTCAGTCGAAGATTTTTAAATCATCCTTTTTCATTATAAGGAAAATGGACAATTACAAAGAAAATGTAAATATATGTAAAGGGCGAGTCATTGGCCCCTTTTCCTGGACTCTTACCCCACTCCCATCACACTGCCTGGAGGTAACCTTTATAAGATGGGACCATATCCTTGGAAACTGTATTTTTTTAATGTCCTTTTTAAAGCAAAATAGGATGAATCTATGGAAGCTGTTCTGCAAAGTAGTGACAATTCTCCAGGTTTATTTTTTTTACCATTGCTTGTAATTGCAGGCAGTACAGACCCCAGAAGGGGGGCATTTGTGTTGCCAACCACACTTCCCCAATAGATGTCTTGATCTTGACCACGGATGGATGCTATGCCATGGTAAGAGCAGCTCAGTGACCGTTCAAGTAATTGCATCTTTTGTGGGTTGTTCAGACTTTTAATTTATTTTAGCACACGTTAGAGACTTTTATACAGAAAGTGGGTTATTCTGCTGTAGCTATGTAAGTTGTGGAGTACATGAAACGAACACTACGTGTGCGAGAAAAGAAAGAAAGGAGCCATTAAGCCATTATATCTAAGGTAGTAGAAAGTCTGAGGCTCCTGGCTGGCTCATCAGTGGAGCATGCGACTCTCGATCTTGGGGTTGTGAGCTTGAGCCCTACATTAGGTGTGGAGATGACTTAAAAGTTAAAAAAAAATCTTTAAAAAATAAAAAATAAATTTAAAAAAGGTAGTAAAAATTTTGACTTCCTGAAATGTAGACGTACTTGAGTTTGAGAGGACTTTGCAAGGTTGATTCTCTTTTCTCTAAGATCCCTGCAATGTTTAATAAATAACACTTGGAGACGTTAAAGTCTTCCTCCTTAGAGCTGTGCAAATCCCTTACCAGCCAATTTGTTGTGTCTTCCTTCAGGGAATCATATGCAACTGAAAAAAAAATCAGACTTTTTAGTGAAGATCAAGCAAGAGAGACAAATACATATACTATGTTGCCTTTCTTAGTCACTGGGGGGATTTGAAAGCTGTTGTAAAAGCTCTTAATTTATTGCCAGAATGTTAATTCGTCTAAAATAATAAGTTCAGATAGATATTTCTTGGACAACCACATTTTATCCATTATTTTGTCTAAGTTGTGGAGCCCATTCTGAATCCAAGGAAGCTCTACTTCTAGGGAAAGGCTTATGGGAATTGGTAGTTCTTAACCTTTTTTGGGTTAGGAATCAGTTAATAGTATGTACCCTTTCTTAAGAAGAACAGTGACATTCACATGCATCATACAAGCACGATTTTGTGTAAAAGCCCACTCACGGACCGTCCTGTTAACAGTCCTTGGTAGGATCCTTACATACACCCGGCACCATTCTGGGTGCATATAGTAATTCCTTACATTTATGTGGACAAGCACTCTCACATACATTGTGTGTGACCTCCCCGTAATCCAGCGAGATTCAGGCTGATATTTTGTTACAGATGAGAAAGCAGAGGTTTAGGCATTTTGACCAATTTGCCAAATTACGATTTTCTGTTTCTGGGACCATATTCATTCTGTGTCCTGGTCAACAAAAAGTTGAATACAACTCCAGGGTGACTGAGCCCTCAGAATTCTGTTGGAATTTTCTATGCTTTTTGATTATGTGTGACTGCAGTTATACTAGCCAGAGTTTAGAAAAAAATAGCCCCTGCTAACTTTCCAGTGGGTGGAGTGAGAGACACGGAAAGCCAGTTCAGGTTTAAATCCAAGGCTGGAGAGGGCAGACATGGGAGGAGCCTGTACTGCTGACCTCCAGAGGTCACACGGGTCTCTTTTGGCTAAGCATAAACTATATATCTGAACAATATTCAAGATCTCTTCTCAGTGGCTTTTTAGAGTCTTTTCCTCCTAAACAAAGACTTCTACTTTTTAAAAAAAAAATTAGAAGTGTTTGCTAAGTCATAGAGAAGTTGTAATAATAAACATTCACATGCCTTTATTCATGTTTCCCTGTCGGTTTTTTGCTCTGTTGGCTCCATCTGCATTCTCATGTGCTGGCTTTCTCTCTCTCTACATAAAAATGTGTGTAAAGTATGTCTATTTTTAATGATATTTAGTATTTATTTCTAACATTAATATGATACCGGAAATTTGGGTCTGTACCAGTTCATGTAATCCACAGGGTTCTTTCTTGCTATCCCCCAGTCCATATCTGTATCTCCCTTTACTCATAGTGAATACCGTGGTTCCCAACAGTACTGACATATTTGCCTATTTTCTTGATCCTCTGATACATCTAAAATTGTTTCAGAATTGCTTCTCTTATTTTACTCCAAAACCAAATGTTGTAAAAAAAAAAAAAAAAAATTCCAGGGTATTTAGCAGTTCTCCTTGAAGAAAGATGGGGGGTGTATGGTCAAATACCATCTCTATACATTTCTTAGATTTTTTCCCCCTTCCTTCAGTGTTGCTCTTTTATTCATTTGAAATACAGTCGGGTTCATTTGTTTTGGTTTGCTTTGGGTTTGCTAGTCCCGTCCTTGCTGATTTACTGTTGGAGAGCTTCTAAATGTCAAAGCTAAACAATAAGGGTCTACTCATAACAGTGCCTTTCCGCCCACCTCCATTCTGCCCGCTCCGTCCCACTCTTGTAGATTTCCAACTTCACTGCTTTGGACCTCTTCTCTTTTGTAGAAATAAATACATGCATCTATTTCCCTTTCCGTTTCACACAAAGGGCAGTGTACTATATTTGCTCTTGGGCATTTGCTTCTCTCACTTAGTGGTATCGCCAGAGTGGTGAGCTTAGCATGGTGTATAGAGATGTTCAGTCGCTGCGTTGTATACCTGAAACTAGGGTAATGTTGTGTGCCAACTATACATAAATAAAAAAAAATTAAAACCCAAACCAAAGAAAACCCCAACCCGGTATCTCTGGGAAATCACTCCTGATGAGTCGTAGAGATCAACCCCGGTCCTTTCCCAGCACATGGCACTCTGTTCTGTGTGTGTAGCATTGTTCATTCATCTGATTTCTTAGGTTTGGCATTTAGATGGTTCCCAATATCTTGAAATTACAAATACTGTTACAGTAAAAACCTTGTGCATATGTATTTTCATTTTTTGGAGGTATATCTTCAGGGTAAATTCCCAGAAGTGGAATTACTGAGTTGAAGGATAAATGTTTATGTAGTTTTGATAGGTATTGCCAAATTTCCTTCTGTGGGTGTTTGAATCTCCCCCATCCCAAGCAATGAATAAGTGCCATTTTCTCCCTCCTTTCCTCCCTTCCTTCCTTCCTTCCTTCCTTCCTTCCTTCCTTCCCTTCTTTTGTGGGAGAGATAGGGTGCCAGCAGGGCAGGGTGGGGGGTTGCTGGGCAGAGGCAGAGGGAGAGATAACCTTAAGCTGGCTCCACACCCAGCTCGATCTCAGGACCCTGAGATCAAGACCTGAGTCGGAACCAAGAGTCCTGCAGAGCCCCCCGGGTGCGGGGTGCTGATTTCCACAGCCTGGGCTCAGAGTGCTACTAAAGAAGACTTTGTGCTTATGTTTGGCCATTCACGCCAAGGAAGGGTGGCTGCCTTTTGATTAGACTAAGAACTTCAGCCAGTAGAAGAAGGCCAGTCTTTTTTCTTCACGGGGAATAGGAACTTACTGGTACTTTAAAAAAAAAAAAAAAAGCTTTCCTTGCCTAGGTGTGTCTTTACATGTTTCTTTTTGTCTCATGGTATTTTAGGTCGGTCAGGTCCATGGTGGATTGATGGGAATTATTCAGAGAGCTATGGTCAAGGCTTGTCCACACGTCTGGTTTGAACGCTCAGAAATAAAGGATCGACACTTGGTCACTAAGAGGTAAGCAGTGACAAAGGATACTCAGTATCCTTTGTGGTAGCATAAAATCTGATAAATCTTGGCCTTCCTGCCAAAGAGGGCAGAGCAGTACTAAGGATTAAACCTAAAATATGTGGAGTTTTATTTGTGGTTAGCTTTTTCTGCTGAATCACCTGTCCTAGCTACATTCTTAAAAATTTTAAGCCTATAGTCATAGCAGGAAGTATGAGATTAGAAGGCCCATGCGTTTGTGTTGCTGTGGCTTGGGTATAGCCCAGTCACTGAGTTTTCAGAATTAAAAATTACTACCTTGAAAGTTAAATAATTTGTACCTATTTTGCTGAGTAAAGAGTTGGCTGATTTCTTGCCAGAAGTCCGTTGTCACTTAAGTCCATTTAGAGACAGACAGAGCTAAAGCTCTTTATGAAACAGAAGGAGGCTTGAGGATTTGGAATAGAGATGAGCTACCAGAAGCTTTTATTGGGAAACAGCTTTTTGTCCGAGGCCTTTAACTGAAGGTCCTGTGGTTTATTGCTTCTAGAAACATGAAGGCGTGCCCTACTTTTCAGAGTAAAATGAAAAGTCCTTGTTGAAATCTGTTTAAGGTCAGTGAAACTATTTCCCACTTGGAGAGTATTTAGCATTGAGTGGGACACTGGCGGCTCTAAGTCTCTATCTGAGCCTTCCAGCGCCTGGAGAGCAGTTGGAAATCCAGGGCTGGCCCACGGAAGGCAGGACTCAAGGCGGAAGCCCCTTCTCAGCTTTATGGTGTCCGTGTCAGAGGAAAGCTGAGCCTACTTATTTAAGGAGTTTCTGTATACTTAATGGCCATGAGGCCGACTGGTCCAGCAATCGATATTCCCATTTTCAGATGACAAACATATAAGTACATGGAAAAGGACACAACCCTCCTGACATGGGGGCCCCGGAGCCCATGTCAGTGATGACCTCAGGTCCTTTGTTAGGAGTCGGCAGAAGGCACTGAAGTTGGCTATCTTCGACATGAGAGCAACTGAAATAGTACAGATGACCTTCGGCTTTTTTGAAAAGGGCCAGTTTGAGTTGATTTCCTTTAATTATGTCTTATTTTTCCCTCCTTCTTGCTGTACGATTATATTTGTGCTGGTAGAACGTGGGGAAGACCAACGAGGACTGAACCTCTATCTTTATGAAGGTGGCATTTTGACCCGTTGTTTTTTTTCACAGACTGAAAGAACACATTGCTGATAAGAAAAAACTACCCATATTAATCTTTCCTGAAGGTAAGGAAGGGTGGCTGCCGACCAAGCCTTAGTTGACAACAACTGGCACGAAAAGCGTGAGAGGACTTGGGTTGTTCTGGATTGGCATTCTTGGTCCAGATCTCTGCCGTCCCCTAGGAATGAGCTGCCCTTCTCTGGGCTGGTGATCCCTTGCTTCCTTTTGGCATTCGATGGAAGTCATGGTGTTTTGTTCTTGTTTTTGTTTTTGGAAGTCATGGTGCCTTTTTGATCTTAAAACTCATTTCTGTGTAATGAACTTGGACAGGTATTGTTCATAATTTTTCAAAAGTCCTTATTTTTATTTTTTATTTGTAAAAGATTTTATTTATTTATTTGAGAGAGAGATAGTGAGAGCACAAGTGGGAGGAGAGGGAAAAGCAGACTTCTGGCTGGGCAGGCAGCCTGTTGTGTGGCTTGATTCCAGAACCCTGGGATCATGACCTGAGCCTAACGCAGATGCTTAACTGACTGAGCCACCCAGGGGCCCCTCAAAGATCCTTATTTTAAAGTATTGAGATTGTCACCTATTATGCCAAAGTTCTATCGCTAGAGCATTTAATAACAAAGTAAAATTTTGTTACGAAATTTGTGTAGAGTTGTTGAATTACTTCCTTAAGCAGGGATTGATCTGTTTCACTAAATGATAGTAAACTATGATTTTGCTATGATTTGAATATTTTAGATTATTTTATATCAAAATAATTCCTTTTTAAAATTTGTTTGAGGGATGCCTGGGTGGCTCAGTCAGTTAAGTGTCTGCCTTTGGCTCGGGTCGTGAACCCAGGGTTCTGGGATTGAGTTCCACATCGGGCTCCCTGCTCAGTGGGGAGCCTGCCTCTCCCTCTGCCTCTGCCCCTGTTTGTGTTCTCTCGTTCTCACTGACTCTCTCTCAGATAAAAATAAAATAAAATAAAATAAAATAAAATAAAATAAGATAAAATGTGTTTAAAAAACCTACCTTTAAAAATATTCACTACCTCCTTTCCACTACTCTGCAGGGACTTGCATCAACAACACTTCAGTCATGATGTTTAAAAAGGGAAGCTTTGAAATTGGAGGAACCATACATCCAGTTGCAATTAAGGTAAAACAGATGCCCCTTCCTGGCCCCCACACAACAGCCAGAAGTCTGCTTTTCCCTCTCCTCCCACTTGTGCTCTCACTATCTCTCTCAGTGACTCAGTAACTTTATTTTGGTATAACTTCAACCTTAAAATCTGAAAGAATAACAAGCACTTGTATACCGTTCTCCCTGCCCGAGCTTTACTGAAATACATTGACATGTAACGTCGTGTAAATTCATAGTATACCATATGTTGGCTTGATACACTTACGAACTGCAAAGTGCTAGCCGCCACCAGAGTTTTAGCGAACACCTCCGTCAGATCACATAATTACTATTTCTTTGTTACGGTGAGAACATTTAAGAGCTGTTCTCTTAGCAACTTTCAAGTGTATAATCAAGTGTTTCTAACTGTAGTCACCATGCTGCGCCTTAGGTCCCCAGAACTCATTTATCTTAGAACGGAAAGTTTGTGCCCTTCGACCAGCATCTCCCCGGCTCCTCCACCTCGTCCGCTCTCCTCCTGGGCCCCGGGGAACCACCGTCCTAGTCTCTGTTTCTGTCAGCTTAGCTCTTTCAGACTCTGCATATAAATGATACTACGGAGAACTTACCTTTCTCTGAGTTACATGACTTAGCATGGTGCTTTAAGGTCCATCTATTGTCACGAATGTCAGCATTTCCTTTCTCGCGGCTCAGTAGCATTCCATTATGTATACACTACGTCTCCCTTCCTGGTTCATCTGTTGGCAGACACGTAGGCTGTTTCCAGATCTTGGTTCTTATGAATACTATGCTGCAATGACTGTGGGGGTACAGATATCTCTTCAAGCTCTTGTTTTCATTTCCACTGGCTATATACCCCAAAGCAGGATTGCTGGGTCATGTGGTAGTTCCATTTTTGATTTTTTGAGGACTCACACTGTTTTCTCTAGTGACTGTACTGATTTACATCCTCCCCCACCATTCCCTTTTCTCTATATCTATCTTTTCTTTTTCAAATCTGTTTTACATAATCGCATTCTGCATTCCATGTAATTTGAAGAAAATGATTTATAATTTTCTGCTAATCCAGAATGTTTAGAAACCACAACTTTAAACTTTCTCAGTTTGTAAACCGAGTCTCAGTCATATAACCTGCCTCCAAGTCACACAGTTGGTCGGCGGAAAAATTGTGATGTCATTATATTAGAACTATTTAGCCAACCAGCGAATTCTAAAGACCTCTTGTGTATAAGGTCTTCCTCAAGGCCTTTGTGTACTCGTTACTCAGATTCACCAACTGTTTACATTTTGCCCTCTTTGCTGGATATTTCTCTATCTATGGATATGTGTACAGACAGGTCCCAGGGGATAGGGTGCCTGGCTTCATATTGAGTAATGAAGACACAGTCAGTAATAAGCGAAACAGTTATGGTGCCTACTTTTGCCCCCCTTCAGTTAAGTGGGGAGACAGATCTTTCGGACTCGGGGGGATAACCCTCTTGTTGCAGCACTCTGGGGTTCGGGTCAGAGGAGTTAGCTGGCCTGGTTTACTTCTTCAATCCCTTCTGTCAAACAAAGTAGCTTCTCTTTCTCTGGGGGTCTGATAGAGATGTTTGGCTTGTCATCGTGGAACCACTGATATGGATAAGAGAGGCCACCACTTCGTTCATAACTGGGATGTATTTTCTTTTCTTTTTTCTCAGTATAATCCTCAGTTTGGGGATGCATTTTGGAACAGTAGTAAGTACAACATGGTGAGCTACCTGCTTCGAATGATGACCAGCTGGGCCATCGTCTGTGACGTGTGGTACATGCCCCCCATGACCAGAGAGGTATCTATCTATAGGTAGCAACTGGTCTTTGGTGCTTTATCCAGTCAGATCATGGCGAGAAAACGTACGTAAAATCCTGGGTGCCTCCCTTACCCCATTAGCTAGAGGTGGACTTCCTTTCTGCTTTCTCAGCAAATGGATTATTTAAAGAAAAAAAAATGTATTCAGGTTTCTTCAAATCAGGCTATTTTGTATTCAGAGACTCTTTTCCATAATTGTTTTTATAGTTGCTGTTGGTTTAGTGAACCTACAGATATTACGGAATGTTGTATGTTGGAGAAGACTAATAAAGGGTGTAATAAATATATGTACGTGAGAGATACAAATTAAACAATACAGTACTTCATTTTCTTGATAGAACAAATGATATTTGCTATGATTGAGAACAGTGCTGAGCTAAAATGTGAATCTTACTTTTTAAAAAAGAGACAGAGAGAAAGAGCGCAAGGACATGCGCATGTGGGGGAGAGGGGAAGAGGGAGAGAGATTCTTTTAAGCAGGTGTCATGCCCAGTGTGGAGCCTGATGTGGGACTTGATCTCACCACCCTGAGATCATGACCTAAGCTGAAAGCAAGAGTCAGACACTGAAATGACTGAGACACCAGGCGCCCCTGAATCTTACGTTTTAAAACAAATCTGAAGACTATGATATGTTTATTCAAGAAATATTTGAGAACTCTATTCCCACAATGTGCTGGTAACTGTCTTTTCCCCAGGAAGGAGAAGACGCCGTCCAGTTTGCTAACAGGGTTAAGTCCGCCATTGCTGTGCAAGGAGGGTTGACTGAGCTTCCCTGGTAAGACATTTTCAGAAGTATTATCATTTTCTTTTTATTAAAAAATCACTTTCAATAATGTCATTGATGGTACTGGTTAGCCAGAGGTTTAGCTGAAAGTGACAGTGGTTTACATAAAAGGGCGATGGCTTGGAGAAGGTAGAGGTTTGCCCCTCTTGCTTAAACAAGGGCAGTGCAGGCTGGTGTAATAGGTCCTTCCGTGTTCTCCCACCCTCCGTGTGCCTCTGCCACAGGGGCCCGGATGCCTGCTCCAGCGCTACTCCACGTGGAGAAAATGGCCTGCAGGAAGGAATGAAAGTAGGGACCAAGCCGTCTCTTTAAGAGCGTGGGATGGGTGCTGGGCATGTCACTTCCACCTCTTGGCTCGACCTCAAGTTAGGTGATAAGAAGGCTGGCAAATGCCATCTTTGTTCCGGAAGGCCCTATGTCTAGCTAAAACAGAGGGTTCTTTTGCTGAAGAAGAAAGTGAGAATGGATTTGGGGTTGGGGAATGGGCCCTGGGAGCAAGGGGCCCTGTATGGGCTTGTTCATACTTAACGCTCGCTGTGACTCCGTTGAAGAAAACTTAAAGACTTGAAAGGAATTAAGTGAAATATTTTAGTTATGGGAACTTTGGATTTAATTTTTTGTTTGAGGAAAGCTGTGTGTAGGTGAGTGTATTAGTCAGCTTGGGCTGCCGTAACAAACTACCACAGCCCCAGCGGCTTAAACAACAGAAATGTATTTTCTCACAGTTCTGAAGGCTAGTAGCCTGAGATCAGGGTGCCAGCAAGGTCGCTTTCTGGTCAGGGCTCTCTCTCCCTTTTGGCTGGCAAATGGCCACCTTCTTGCCTTTGTGTGAATTTGGGGAGAGAGGGGGAGAGAAGACAGCAGGCTCACAGGTGTCTCTTACAGGGGCACTAGTCCTACCTTGAAGATTAGTGACTGCTCTTAAGGCCTCCTCTAAACCCAAGTACTTCCCAAGGGTTCCATCTCCAAATACCATCATACTGGGGGTTAGGTCTTCACTATGTGAATTTGGGGAAGTGCATATACGTTTAGTCTGTATTAGTGAGGGTAACTCTACCTACATTATCATGGGAGATGAATCATACTTTCAGATCCTGTAGGTTTATTAAGTCCCCCTGTTTATCTTTTTTTGGTGTTTTCAAAACACTTCGCATGAAGAGTTCACTGGAGGCACTTCGAGTCACGTTCTCAGAGCAGGGTTTGGCTGAGTCAGGCGTCAGCCTGTTCAACCAAGGACTCCTGAACCTGCAGAGGGACCCAGGACTGCTCAGGAATTAAACTTCTGGAATGAGAACTAATAAGGACTAGCTGGATTCTTTTTTTTTTTTTTTAAGCTTTTATTTATTTATCTGTCAGAAAGAGAGAAAGATTTCGAACTCAAGCAGGGGAAGGGGCAGAGGGGGAAGCAGGCTTCCCGCTGAGCAGGGAGCCCAGTGTGGGGCTCGATCCCAGGATGCTGGATCATGACCTGAGTCGAAGGCAGACACTTCACTGACTGAGCCACCCAGGCATCCTGCTAGCTGGATTCTTATACTTCTTTATGCAAGGCTGGGGGATGTCTCCAGAATATTTTATCCATTCATATACTTTTTTTTTTTAAGATTTTGTTTATTAATTTGTCAGAGAGAGAAAGCGCACAAGCAGTGGGAGAGGAAAGCAGAGGCAGAGGGAGAAGCAGGCTCCCCGCTGAGCAGGGAGCCCAGTGTGGGACTGGACCCCAGGACCCTGGGATCATGACCCCAGCCGAAGGCAGACACTTAACTGACTGAGCCACCCAGGTGCCCTCCATTCATGCATCTTACGTACAACCCAGTTCACCCAGGAAGCTTGCTTCTGGCATCATTATGCTAATTAGGAAGCCACTAATTTCTGTAGTGAAAACCCATTTCTAAAATTCCTTGTGTGAATTAACAAGGTTTAGGAAGTTGATAGAAAACAAAGACCGCTGAAGCCTTAGAGTGGCAGCTGTGCAGGGTGGCCTCTAATTCCATGCCTCTCGGACCGCCCCGGGGTGTGAGTTCTTGACTTAACGGCCACCTGGCTTGCCCTAAGGTCAGGATGAGGGTCAAGAGAGGTTGAAAGGAACATTTGTATCACACTACCTAAGCCAAAATATGGGAAACTAAATTACGGATACCACAGCATCCTGAAATGACAGGCTTACACAGGTCCTAGCTTATAAATGCCCTGGTGAGCCAAGTTCACTCTGCATCTGGCTTCCTCTTTCCTGCTCATTGTTTTCATTTCTTTACTCTGCTTTTTCTCACCTGACTTCTCAGCCCTGCTTCTGCCCTGAAGCCGTATGAAAATCTTGGAGCTTTGGAACAGTAGCATCAGACACCAAAGAGAGGAAGAAATCCTTGAAAGATAATAGCCTAGCCAAGTCAGCAACAGGACAGATCTCATTCAGATTGGCTTAAACAAAATCTGTCAGAAAGCATCCTTAGGGGGTGTCTGGGTGGCTCAGTGGATTAAGCATTTGCCTTTGGTTCAGGTTATGATCTCAGGGTCTTGGGATGAGCCCCATGTCAGGCTTCCTGCTCAGCGGGGAGTCTGTTTCTCCCTTTCCCTCTGCCCACCACCCCTCATCCCCACTTGTGCGCTCTCTCCCTCAAATAAATAAGTATAATACTTTAAAAAAATCCTAAAAAAAATGACCCTCAGAATTGTTCAATTCCCTTTTATTGGGCCGTATGCAATTTTGTTATAAATGATTACTTTTAATTACCTTGCTTCTTTAAAAAAACAAAAAAGACTCACTGACTTTTTAGGTGTATGTGTCATTCACACACTGGGTATGAATTTTTTTTTTTCTAGATTAAATGGGAACTCGACTGTATCATATTAAACAGGCTTATATATATGGCTGCTGGTCTCCTTAGGAACTCAAATCTGCTGCCATTGCAAAGGGGAATTGGGCAAAACTTTAAAGTCGCTAGAAGGGTTACGGCACAGTTGGGGTGCTCAGAGCAGTGTGTTTTCTCAGTGCTTAGGAGAGTTGCCTCAAAATAATGTCAGGATGCTTGGGGCAAATGTTGCTTTTTGGTCAGTTTTGGCCTGGACCTTAGGAAAGAAAGAATGGCCTTTCTTCTGCCTCTCCCTCTTCCACTTAGTTCTTACTATTCAGAATTCACATAAATGCAGTGAATAGTTAGAGGTAGCTTTTTTGAATAAAAGAGGCTTTGGGGGATAATTCTGGGGAGCTAACAACAATTTATAACCTTGTTTCAAGGAAATTTCCTCCAGCTGAGCCCCTGGAAGATGTGTGGAGCTCAGTCTATTACAAGTCAAGGACTTGTGGTGGGCTGTGTCCTGGATTTGAGTCTGGATTTGGTTCAGGCAGGCGTTTGTTTGTCGGTCAAGTTCTGTCTTCGTGGCATTGAGTTCATGGGCTAACCTGTAATGCATTCATCATCATCAGAGAACACTTGGTAAACATTCGTGCTTAGCTGGGTTAAAATTAAACAGGCACAGTATGAAGTAAGCAAGTTCACTGTTCATGCGCCCTAGGAGTTCAAAATCAAAGACATTAGATAAGGAGAGAAATTGTGGCCCCTTAAAATCCGGTCTCCTCCCAGAGCTTCCACTTTGTTGTTTCTTTGTGTTGTCCAAAGAAGGAAAGGTATGCAGAGTCCTTATAACCCAGGCAGTGCTGTTTTTACCACTCTGGACAGAGCTCAAAGATTCACAGGCTCTGCATTAAGGAATGCTGCTTACACGGGCACTAACCACTGCTTCAGTGCAATTTGTGATTTTGTTGTTTGTTTTTATTCGGAGTCTGTTTTGGAATATGGAAGATTATAAATACTTGAAATATGTAGTGCTTTGAATGAAAATACAACTTGGTAGACATAGGATTAGATATGAATAGTGATTAACCCATCTATATTTAAGTAATTTACCCATATACATATAGTCCCCTCACCATTACTTGTGTGTATATTTTAAGTGCTCCAGGTGATTTTCTAGTTGACATAAGACATAAGTTGATTAGATGAAAGAAAACCATACTTTGCTTTCCATGGGGGAAAGGAGAGGTAAACAATCCTAGTTTTAATATAAAGTCCAAAGATGAGTATGGCAACCCCAAATTCTAAAAAGAAAGTGAGGGGAGATATTGTTTTATATTTTGTTTATTTCTTTAACTTATTTTTTTGAGAGAGAGAGAGGCTGGGGCTGGAGGCAGAGGGAGAGACTCAAGGAGGCTCCATGCCTGGCGCAGAGCCTGATGCCGGGTTTGATCTCTTGACTCTGAGGTCATGATTTGAGCCAAAATCAAGTCAGTCACTTAACTGACTGGGTCACCCAGGCGCCCCTGACTTTTTTATTCTATATGCTACTCAAGCATCAGAGGGATTGCTCCTTCCCCAAAGTACTACGCTGTGGTGTGTGGTAGAACAGAGACTGAAACCTGGGTCTTTCTGCTTTCAAAGCCTGCGTTCTTTGGCCCATTGCCATTTAAGTGTCGTGGCACAACCTGGTATTAGCTGCTCATGCTTTTTAACTCACTGTTGGGTCTGTATCTTTTATTTATTTGCCTTTTTAATTCCAGGGATGGAGGGCTGAAGAGAGCAAAGGTGAAGGACACCTTCAAGGAGGAGCAGCAGAAGAATTACAGCAAGATGCTTGTGGGCAACGGGTCTCTCTGAATCGGACTCAGTGCTACCCTGGTTGTCAAGTTTGGCTTCCCAGAACCAGCCCCTAGAAATGGAATGTTTTGGGTTTTTTTGGCGAGGGAGTGGAGTATTGTTTTATTTTACTGTTTTTGTTTATTTGCTGTTGTTAATCTTTTCTACAGGATGGATTGTCTCTACCTCTTTATGCCAGAAGCAGAACCCAACGGTGGGGGGAGGGGCGTTTTGGCTTTTGTTGTTGCTATAGCAGTAGCTTCATGAATTGTAAGGTAGTTTACTGAGTTTAAACAGATCCTGCCTTTTGTAAAATGATGATGTCATCGTTAAATGAAATACTTATGCAAGGAAAAAGTGCTTCTCAAACACTTTTAGAACTCACTGTTTTTCTCAAAAAAAAAATCCCCCATGCTCTCTTCGTGATTAATTTTCTCACTCCTTCTCCCCTCACCTCCCCCTTCAGTCCCTTCAACAGCAGGATCACGCATCACTTCAAGGTCCCCTCCATGGTTACCTTCTACTGCAAGGTCGAAAAGAAAAATGGGCGATGTTCTTTAGGAGAAGGGACAGATTTGTGGCCACTTGATCTGAAAGTTGAAAGCAAATGTAAATATTTTTTTTTACTAGTGTGTTAGAGGCGAACTTCAATTTGGTCAGCTGTACCAAAGAAAAGTGTGTGCAGGTTACTGTGGGTGTGCATTTATAGGTAGGTGAATTTTGAATAAATCCTTTTAGCTGGCAACTGCTGATAAAGTTTTTAAGTTTTCCTTGTTTGTACACTAAAGATCTATATCTAGTGCCTCTCCTATCTCCTGATTTGATGTTGTACTGAAACGTGTTTTCAAACAGGAGGAACCCTTTACAACAACACGTCATGTTGTCTTCAGCGGGGGTCTGAGTGAGCCAGGTGTGTGCTGCCCCTCACTCTCCACCCCTTTGAGGTTTCTTTCAGAATGCTCCCAGTTCCTTAAACAGAAAAATAAGTGGAAAAATTACCTTTTGGAAACTGAGCCTTAAATTTTTTAAAGGGGAAATAAGGGTTTCCCGACTCACACAGCATAAGCAATGTTCGATGTCAATGTAATGCCGTGTTAAACTCGGAGAGTGTTGTCTCTCTTCCGGTAACCATGTACAAAATGTGAAACTGTCTTACAGTGAATATAAATAAATTCTATATTTCTAAGTGTGTGTCCATTGTTTTCCCTCTCCTCTACCCTCTTCTGGTTTGGGGTAAGTCAAATTTTTTCTTCTTATAAACAAGGATTGTTTGTTTTCCATATCAATGACATAGCTAGATTTTATTGGACTGGAACGGCTGGGAAATGAGAATGTGAACAGCTAGTTTTGGTTTGTTTTTTTTTTCTTTTTTTTGTAGCCTAGTTATCTGGACTTTGACCCTGTGAACTCTGCCTTGAGCAAGCCATAGACTTCACTTAATTTGTAGGTGAACTGGGGCAACTCTCTTCTAATTGACTCTAGGTATGTCCAGCACAGCCCTATCAATCATACTCCCATCGAACCAGACGGGTTTGATGCCAAAGGAACTTTTGTAACCAGGTTTCCCCAGCGATCACCTACTCTTCTGTTCTTACATGCTACCCCCCTTCCTTTTTTACTGTGTTCTTACCCTTTGATTCTTAACTTTGATCTTTCTTTTTCTTTTTTAAAATTTTGATTTTAAGTAATTTCTATACCCAGTGGGGGCCTGAACCCATCACCCTAAAATCAGGAGTTGCATGCAGGTAGGTGCCTGATTCTTCTCTTTGATCTTGACTGAAAATCAGCAGATTCATTTATGTATGTTGGGGTGACTCTTTGTCTTTTTTTTCCCTCAGAGAGTTCCTTTTTCACTTTTACTTTTCATATTCAATATAACTTGAGTTAATGCAGCCACTTTATTAATTAGCCCACTTTTTGGAAAAGCAGATAGGACAACTAACGACTGTTTTGTTTGGACACCAATAAGTGGTATATTTCCAAGAGCACTGTTAGAGCAGTAATGGATCACAAAGTCATTAGAAAATCTAATGCTATCTCAGTAAAAACTTTTGTGTGTCTTTGACTCACACCACTAATTTTCAGGTTGTCTGGGGAATTGCCGTACTGCCGCAAACATGTTTGTGGTGAGCACATGTTGCTCAGACTTAGCATATGCTCCCTAGAAATCCTGTGTTTGCATTTGCCTTCCCTAATATGATATTATACCTACTTTAGAAATCCTTTACCCAGAGTTTCGTCTTCTAAACTTCTGAGTCGTCTGTAATTATAACGGGATATCAAGGGTAGGGAGAATTTGGTAGAAAATTCCCATGAGATAAGACCTTTCATCTAACCTGTGCATAGATTCATTCATTGAGCCTCAAGTTTGCCTTTTTAAATTCCAAGTCTGTCCTGGTCTTATTTACAGACACAGTGTTCTAGGAATGCCAAGATTTTCTGAAATATCCTGGCATATCTTAGGATTGGATGAGCACCCATGGTAGGAAACAGTGAACATACTTGAAGCATGGGAAATAGTCCTGGATCATAGTCTGGAGCAAAGAACAGTCCTGAGGGAAGTTTACTGGATAAGCAGACTTTCCAAGGCACATTCAGCTTTGTGGTGGTGGCTTGCTGGCATCCCTTTTGTGCATATGCTGCACTTGGGGCATTCTGTTGGTAACTCGAGGGTTCTTCATTTCTCGTGGCTACAGATAATGTTCTGTGGTCATGAGGATGGCCTTTCGGCCAGAGTTGCTCTCGGTCTTACTCTCTGAGATGAGGCTTTCCGCCAGGCCTGAGGAGGATGTGATGGGAGGTGGGGCGAAGCTGGCATTTGGGATTGGTACTGAAAACTAGGGGTCCTGGTAAGGATCTTGACAGAAACTGTGGGCTTGCATTTGTTTATTTAGCACTGGTTCCTAGTGGATTGATGCTGGTAATATTCGATGTTATTTTTTGGAAGAACGGTTAAGTTGCTGGGACTGAGAGTCACACAGACCTTTCCTACTTGTGGCTCTAGTGCTCACAGGCGTTGCAGCCTTGGATAGTTCTCTGTTTCTCAGTTATCTTTTTCTTTATTGTGCAATTATAGAATACACACAAGTGTGTATGAAAGTGTGCAGGTACACTTTAAGGGCAATGGTAAATTGCAAGCGTATTTCCCAGTATTACCCTGGATATGTGTTGCCCAGGCCAATAAGTAGAATATGAATGACTGTATGTCCTAGAAGGCATGGAAAGTCATAACTTGTTATTCCTTTTAATATTGATGGACAGTAGTGTTGTTTATAGCTTTGTTGTAAATGTTTCCTGGTGTACACAAGAGTTTTTTGCTAATTGGTATCCTAATAGGAATTAGGATTTCTCCATAGTAGGATATCAGAATGTTTAACTTTAGTATAGAAACCTCCAAACTCTTTCCAAAAAGGTTGAATCATTTTACATGACCTGTCGCTGTAGGACAGCAACATTTATATTAGTGTAACAACATATTTAGATTTATTTTTCATTATTTTATTTTGTACTTTCTCTTCCAGTTTTTTCTCCTTTCTTGCCTTCTTTTGGACTTATTACTCTCATTTTCCCATTTTCTCTACTTAAATTGGGGGTTAATGGGTTTTTATTTGTTTTGTGGTTACCTTGTAAATTTCACTTTGCACACTTATCAAAGTGTAAAATGGGTCACTATCCTTTCACTTCTGGACAATATGAGGACCACAGAACTTGAATCCCAGTCATTCACCCCAGCCCTCACCAATTCATATGATGCCATGAACTTCGGTTGCTGACATAATCCCACCAGTGAGCACCACCGTTGTCAGCAGCAGCTGCGTACCTGTTACTTTATACAGAGTTATCCACACTTTTACCACTTTTTTTTTTCATTCTTCACCTTTTAATTTTACCATCTGGGATCACAGTTTGATAATGACTAAATCCCTGTTTTTGTTTTCTGAAAGTGTATTTTTTACTCATCCTTGAAAGTTATTGCTGGATGTAGAAGTGTGTGTTCAGATTGAGTTCTGTTTCTCCGAGCAAATTAGAGATCGTTCTGTAGTTGGTATTGGGAAGTCAGCTACCAACCTGATTATGGCATTTTTGGAGGTAATATTTCTTCTAGTGTATTTAAAATTATTTCTTAGTTTTTGTTATTTTACAAGTTCACCCTGTTGTATCTAGGTGTGGATCTCTTGTTAATTATCTTGCTTGAGACAGGTTGGGTTCTTATCTGTGGACCGATAGTTTTTATCAATTCTCAGAAGTTCTCATATACCCTTTGATGTATTGTCTTTGTTTCAATTCCCCACTCCCGTCTTTTTTTTTTAATTAAAAAAATTTTTTTAAGGATTTTATTTATTTATTTGACAGAGAGATCACAAGTGGACAAAGAGGCAGGCGGAGAGAAAGGAAGGGAAGCAGGCTCCCTGCTGAGCAGAGAGCCCAATGCGGGGGCTTGATCCCAGGACTCTGGGATCATGACCTGAGCCGAAGGCAGAGGCTTTAACCCATTGAGCCACCCAGGCGCCCCAAATATACTCCTGTCTTTTTAGAAGTCTCAGTAAGCAAATATTAGACATTCGCATTCTGTCCCACATCTCTTAATCCCTCTTTTTTTTTTTTTTTTGAATTTTCCATTTCTTTGCTCTCTAGACTTTTTCTGGGCAATCTTCAGTTGTACTATTTCCCTAATGCCCCCTTCAGTTCTATCTGATCTACTGTTCTTTCACTGATTTTTTAGTTTTAGATTTTCGATTTCTCAGTTCTATGAGTTATATTTGGTTCTTTCTCAAATGTACTTACTCTTGAATAAGTTTTGAAATATTTTGTTTACTGATTTTATATTTTTTCCAATAATTCCAAAATCTTACACCTTTTGACGGCATGAGTTGGTCCCCCCACACTGCTCCTCATTAATGGAGTCTTATTTCATTTTGTGTTTAGAGATGTTTCATGGTGATCTTTCATTTTCTATGGATTTTTATTGTTCATTAGGCCTTTCAGAGCAGGAATCAGCCAACTATAGCCCATAGGCTAAGTCCTGCCTTGTGCCTGTTTTGTAAATAAAATTTTATTGTAAGGCTGCCACACCTGTTTGTTTATTCCTTGTCTGTGTTTGCTTC